TTTGGTGGATGTTGACAGAGTAAGTTTTTAGGGAAAAGTTTGATCTAAAAGAGTAGGGGGGTGTGTTCCCGGGATGGGATTTAGTGATTATTCTTCCCGATTGTTAAGGAGTTTAAGGTTTTTTACAGTAAATTAGCAAAAATGTATTCTCCATATTCTCACAAAAGCAATTGGTGCTGATAAAAGATAATTGGTTAGAGTAATAGCGGGCAATACACCCAACTGTAGGTCTGAAATTGTGGTTGCTTGTATCTGTAGAGGGTGATACTATTGGTCCTGTTTTAGCCAGGTCTCGGTAAGAATAATGCAGGAAAGGGTGTCTTTAGTGATTCAAAAGGAGTGCCAGGAGGTCATCATAGTGTTTGCTTAAGACCTGATGTTGTAGTAAGTAACTGATAGACTTTTACTCAATTGGTTGATAGTGCTGGCTTGTGATGCTGTGTAGTAAGGCTTACATTTCAATAGGTTTTTGATTGTGTGTCAGATTAATGTAGGTTAGATCAGGGTCAAGTGATCAAGACCTTAGGTCTTAAATTATGTTTTTATATCCTGAGTTGTGTGTGAGTTTAGTACTGATATCTGTAGTGGTGGGGAGGTTTGGACAAGTATATAGCTTTAGATTTTTGTCATGTAGATGTATAGTCATAATACACATATGAAGTTGGTGTTGTCTATGTGTGGTGTGGAATTGAGCTAAAGTTCAATAGTATAACTAATAATATGAAATTACAAATTAAAAATAGCACAAGACTCTCACTTGTAATTGCACTAAGGCTAATGTAATGACTTTGGATTGTCTATGTATTGACTGGAGTGAGCAATAGTACAACTAGGTTATAATCTAATAATTAGAAATACAAATTAAAAATAGCACCAGGCTCTCACTAGTAATTACACTATGGTCTAATATAATGACTTTGGTACTGACTATGTATTGAGCTAGAATGAGCTATAGTACAACTGAGTTTTAATCTAATGATATAAAAAAGGCACAAGACTCTCATTGTAATTGCACTAAGGTGTTATATAAGTTGTTTACAAGAATTAGAGTATAACTAGATTTAAATTGACAAGATAAAATATACAAGTTAAGGTAGCAAAAGAATAAAAAAAGTAGAAAAAAAAATATATGAGGTAGTTGGTACTAGTTAGCAAAAGATAGTTAAGGGGCTTGAACAATAATATAATTGAATATACACTAATTGCAACACATAGTGTCACTGAAGTAGAAGAAGACTTTGAGGCAGGAGCCTTTACAATATAAAATTTATAAAAATACAATGTGAAATGGAGAAGGTTGAGAATAAGCACAGGGGGGTTGGGTTAGGGGGTTTGGTATGACAAAAGGATCAAAGTATAATACATTGAAAATATAAATATAAAGAATATCACCAAATTAAAGGGAGGTAAAGGAGGTTTTTAGTTAGGAATTAACAATGGTAAGCTGGGTTAATAGGATTGAATAGAAAAATGGTAGGGACAGTGTAGAGGTACAGGATAATTATGAAGGTTGGAGTTATTTTCATAATTGAGACTTGGCCTGAAATGGGGAAGTATAATGCCTGCAATTTAAAGAAAGGGTTTGAATTGACTTGGAGGAAATATGTTGTTATCTTCATAAATTTCTAGACGTTTATTCTGATTGCAAAAAAAAGTGATAAGTAAGTGTTTAATTTAAATGATGATGAATATTTGTCTTGGTAGTTTTCTTGAGGTTTTTGGCAGCTCGGTAATTACGGGCGACTTTTTAAGATAAAATAAAAAAAGGAAAAAAGGTAATTAGACAAGTAATGGTTATTAAATGTAAAAAAATGTTGAGAGTAAATTGAAATTATAATAAAAATGGTAATTATTAATTTTAGTAAGTAATATCAATTGATAGTATTTAAAAAAATATGAGGTAGTAATATGGACAGAGAAAGTATCAATTCAGCTAATGTTTAAGCAAACAATAGTAAATAAGAAAATTACATAAGGTGACTTATGCTTACTAGTAAAATCACAAAATGAGGTAGTTGATTTTTAATTACTAAGAGATTGTACAATGAAATTTGAAACAATAATTTTGAGGTAAGTAATAAGTGTACTGTGTGTGTATTTTACTTTTTATTGCTTTTAATGCCTTGTTCTTTTGCTAACTTTATATATGTTAGTGTAAACTTATTATCTGACATTTATATGTAGAAAAAAATGGTGTTCTGCTTTCCGGATATGTCCGATTTCTGGCAGTAGCCTGGAACCCGACCTGCTGTATAAGTGGGGCCCTCCTGTATCTAGGCCAAAATTCACTGCTCACAGCTTAACTGAGGGAGCTGTACTCAAAACATAGATCTATGTGAGGGACCCTGGCATTTATAATGAAGATCTATGTGATGGCCACTGAAAAAGTTAAATGTGTTGTATTTATTGTTTCACTGCCAAGAACACTTATGATCTATGTAATCAAAGTGTTCTCTAACAGCATACATGTTGATGCAAACTACGAAAATAGGACACTCAATACAATATTAACCCTGTGCTAAAACTCTTCTTGGAG